AGGAGGGGAGCAGAAATGTCAACCCCGGGCGAGCGTCACGGGCTCACCATCTCTCCGCGGGAGCCCTCCCCAGCCCCCTGCGCTGCAGAGCGGGCTGAGCCCACGGGCAGGAGGAGCGGGGCTGGGATGGGGTCTCTCCCTTTGCGGGGCTGGGACGGTGGGACTGAGGCATCTCCGTACGGATCCGCAGCCTGACCTTGCTCAGGGCTCAAGCTGAGAGGTGCCACTGTCCCACCAGGCTCACCTGGCTGGTGGCCCCAGCCGGTCCGGAGATGCTCACCCATTTGCGACCAGACCCATGAGCTGCTCGTGGGGTGCCCAGGGCTGTGCCAGCCCGAGTCCCTGCTTTGCCCCCAGCCTGCCTACCTGCTGTGCCCAAGCCGGTCAGGTGCCGCCAGCCAGGCGCACGCTCTGCTCCCTCTTATTAATACCTGCCCATGATCTTTGAGACACCGCTCCCTGCCTCCTGCCCTCCCTCCTGCCCTGCCAAGGCGCTGCCAGCTCCCCAGCCCTGCTGCTGTGCGGCACCTGCCATGCTCCCTCAGTGCCCTGTTGTGCTGGGTGCCCTGGCTGTGGCAGGCCCAGGGCTGTCACTGCTGTCCCCAGGGCCATCCCCTCCTGGGACTGTCCTGGCCAGCCTCAGCCACCGGCCCACAGCTGTGTCCAGGGTGCCGCCATGCCCCAGCACCCATGCCAGGCGCAGGGCAGGGATTTTCTTGCCGCTGGGCACATCCTGGTGCCAACCTCCTGCCAAGGGCTGCCAGCGCTGGCCTCCCTGGGGCACTGCTCGGGGGCCCGCCATCACCCTCCTGTGCCCCGGGGCTCCCACAGGCGTCCCCCCGCCGCCCCACCTCCTGGAGAAGGAGCTGTGCCCGGGGCAAGGAGGGGTACCCGCAGCCTCCAGCTGTAGCATCCAGGGTATTTTCCACGGGCTCCGGCCCCTGCTTACCTGCTGGAAACGGGTGCGCTGTGCCCTGTGGACTGCCCCGCTCTATGCCAGACCCAACCGTTATCTTGTTCCAAAGGTCCCCAGCAGGCACCAAAGCACTGCTGAACGCATCACACCTTCCTGGGCTCTGCCACGACCTGGTACCACCACTGGTTTTGGAGAATTTCTGAGTCACGCTTGGCCCAGAACCACAAGGACACCGCAGTGGAAATGCAGCCACCCGTGGGCTGGGCTGACTGGTGCCAGGGTGCAGGGCAAAGCCAGTGGGCAGGGAAGGGCAGATGCTGGGGAGCCCCGGGTGCCCTGGGTGGTGGCACGGGGCTGGTGCATGGCACGAGCGGTGACACCCAGGGCTGCGCTCTCTGGGGACGGAGAGACTCGTTGCCATCCCGGCTGGCTGGGTGGGGGGCAGCCCATGGCCACCCTGGCTCTCCCTGTGGTTGGCGCGATCTGGATCCCACAGCAGCCACACGCGGACTCCTCAGCTGCCTTTCAGCAGCGGGGCTGAGCCTGCTCCCCTCAGCCTCTGCCGCAACCCCGGCCCCGCGCTGCGCCAGCCCCGTGCCCATCAGACCCACGTGGCCAGGTAGCGGCACGCCGATGCCGGCAGAGGTGCCCACGTGCAACCGCTGCCTCCCCAGTGCTTGTCTGCTCACCTGGCACAGAAGCGGAGACCGTCACAGGGCTCGTGCTCAGTAGCAACTGATAGTGCCAGGTGCCATTTAGTGCCTCCTTATCGCTGCTCCCGGCCCCCGCCCTGCGCCGCTGCTTCCTGCACCCCAGCCTCCAGCCCCCACCCGCACCCCGGGCCCCAGGCGAGCTGCTCTGCCCGTGGCTCCCCGCCAGCCCTCCCTGGCCCCTCGCCCCAGGCCAGCCTTGGGAAGGGCTGCAGGTTGGGAAGGGCTGCAGGACAGGACCACAGCTCCCAGCACCACCGACGCGGGACTCCCCTGGTGCTCCGGGGCCGCCCTGGGCTGGGTCAGGCTCAGGTGCTAAGGAGGGAGCCTGTGAGGGTCATTGATGGCGACCCTTGCTCAGGGTGCCGGGGATCAATACTGCCCTTTGCTCACCTGCTCTTTCCCCTCCAACTGCAAGAAAGGGAGGGACGGAGGGCACCAGGATCACACTTGGCCTCTCCTCCTCCCGCTTCCCTCTCCTTTCCTGCAGCCCGATCGGCCCTGCTGAGGTCAGGCTGCCTTCGGCCGCTGCCAGGCGTGGGCCCCACAGCTAACCACAGCCACCGCGGTGCTGCAGCCCTGCCAGCCAGGGCCAGGGCCACTGGGCACCACCGCAGCCCACCCCGTCTCCTCTCCGGGTGAACCAGCCTGGGTGTGGCCAAGTTCAAGCACCTGGCAGCACGTGAAGTCCCCGCCACCTGGTCACCTCGCCGCAGTGACTCCCCTTCAGCCCAGGAGCTGGCTGCGAGCTCCTGCCCGAGCCCCCATCGCCTCGAGTCCCGGTGCTGCGCCCGCAGCCCCAGCCATGGATCCTGAGCACAGGGAGAGAAGCACAGAGGCCAGCACCGTTTTATAGACTTTATTTCCAAATCTGGCGCTTCCATGATACACTTTTACACAGCCGGGGGGAGGGCGCGGGCATCTCCCTGCTCCCTGCCCACAGAATCGGGAGATGGAGAGAGGGGAAAAAAAACCAAAACAACCAAACCCCCCAAAGAAACAAAGCCAAACCCAAATCCAAGGAGGATGCTCCCCAGAGCCCAGTCCACAGCACTACAATCAGGGACCAAGCCACGGACCGACTCCTGCTTCTTGACCGGCCCGGCTCTGTGGGGACCGTGACCGGCTCTGCGGGGACAGCCACCAGCTCCACTGCTCTCTTCTTTTTTGGCACTTGTCACTCGCTCTCTGTTTGGCACCAACACAAAGCACCCCCGTGCCCAACCTGCCAGAAGAGCGGGCCCTAGGGCACAGCGGGGACAGGACACGGGTACCCACCGGGGTGCCAAGGGGGTAACATGGCGCTGGCTGCGGCACAGCCCAGGACTCCGGTGCTGCGCAGGTGGAGAGAAACATGTAAACGAGTTTGTCTGTGAAGGCGAAGCCGGGCAGCACAGAGGGGCCCAGCTGTTCCCGACACGCAGGGCTGGCAGCCTTTCCCTCTGCATGCTGGTCCCAAACGGCACGTAAACGCCAGGCCCATGGCACCCCTGTCACCCAGCCCCTCTGTCCCCTCCACGTCCTCCCTGCCGACTCGGGGATGTAGCCGAGAGGCCTTGGCCTCCCCGGAGGACAGCGGCACAAGTCCTCTCCTGTAAACATGGCGGGCTGGGCTGCAGTAAGAAGCTACAGCAGTGTGGTAGTAAGGCAGTAAGGAGCGTGCTGTCACGCAGCCCCGAGAGCACCACGGGGGCAGCCGAGCAGAGGCACCACGCTCGGCAGGTGAAAGGGAGCGTGCCGGCCCCCCGAGCCGGCTGCCCCCGGCCCGAGGCTGGGGTAGGCACAGAGGAGCGTTGCCTCGCGGCAGGGCCAGCGGGAGCCTGGGGCCAGGCCCCCGGCCAAGCAGAGAAACCATCAGGGTGGCCTGAATTTCCAGAGAGAGCAAAGTGCTGTTTATCCCCGTCTCCCCAAATCCAGGCCACTCTGAGCTGGGGTCCTCTGCCAGCCAGAGAGCGCAGGGATGTGTGCATATGTACGCAGAGCGCGCAGGGAACCAGCTAGATACAACTTTTGCGGGCGATGCTGGACCCCGAGACTGGAACCACATCATGCTCCCGCGGATGCTAATCCTCTGGGAACAGCCTAGCCTGCTGCTGAGCAGGGCTGGGGTCACCCAGCTCTTTGCCTGGACCCGCAAACCCACAGAGGTTTGCTCTGTAACACGCAGGCTAAAGAGCACAACGTACAGTGGGTAAAAACATAGCGCTCATCTGCTGAGCGGAGGAAACAAGCGCTTAGGAATGGGACCATGCTGGTACGGGACGGGACTGAACAGCAAAGCCCCTTTCCTCCCCCCACGGGTCCCTAGTGCCAAATCTGCCGCCCCACTCGCTTGTGCTCTCGCTGGTGCACAGCCCTGGCTCGTGGACAGGGGGCAGCCCCAAGGGGGGTCCCAAGGGAGGGCGGAGGGGGGCCTGGCTGCAGGGCCAGCACGGCTGCAGGGGGCTGAGGGACGCTGGGCAGGAGGACGGCGCCGAGACACGTGTGGAGCTGCACAGTGGGAGGGCGAGAGGGGCAGCGGGGCCAGCTGCTCTGCAGTGGGGATGGGACGGAGTGGTGCTGGCAAAGCCGTGAAGGCTGTGCCTGGCACTGTCCCTCCGGCCCACCAGGATCACGGTTCCTGGTACCCCCAGGGAAGCCGGCAAAGGGCTGTTGGTGAGACAAATGCTCCAGGTCCTGGGAACAGACCATCCGTAAAAATAACCATAGAAATTTCTCTTCTCTCTGATTACAAAGATACAAAAAGGTAGAAAACCCTCCCTGGCCCCCACGTCCTGGGCTCCATTTCCATCCCCCTGCCCCTGCCCACCCTCCGCTCACACACCCTGCATACAAACGGGTCGCAGAGGAAGAGCTCGGCCCCGGGGGGGTTGGAGAAGCCACCCTCGCCCGAGCAGGCTCCTGCTGTACCTGTCACACCGGGCAGGCGACGGGGAGCACGGTGGCAACCGTGAGCCCGGAGGCTCCCGGCGGTGGGTGGTGCGAGCCACCGGTCCCTCAGCCCGGAGGGCAGGGGAAGGCAGGGTCGGTTTTGGGCCTCTGACCACCATCAGTTCTGGCCCCTGCCCCCTGGGGACACCAAACCTCAGCTGGCAGCGCCTGGCTAGGCGAAGGGCCCTGCTTCTTCTGTCTCTCTTGTGGACAGCTTCAGCCCCTCAGGAATGGCCCTCGTTTCTCGTTTTTCTTCTCGGAGGAAAGAAAAAACAGCGTTAAGCTGTGGCATCTCCCCTGGGCTCCAGCTGCACTCCCCCGCCAGTTATGCCAGATGGGGACAGGGCAGAAACCCACTCCTGCAGCAGGGCAGGAACAACTGTCTCCAAGTCCCTGAGTTCAGGGAAGAGGAAAGGAGGGATGGGATGGGATGGGATGGGATGGGATGGGAGCAGTACCAGCAGGGAGCAGAGCTGGAGGAGAAGGAATGACAGATAGGGAGAGGGTCCCTGGGCAGAAACATGGCTGGGGCAGGCAGGGCTCCTGTAGTACTTGGGCCCTCTCCTCCTCTCCAGCCAGCCTGGCCCTCGCACACATCTGCTCGTTGGGACTTACAGCTGGCTCTCAGCAAGGGGACCAGCCTTGAGGGCAGCCTGGCGGCACAAAGCATCTTCCCTAAGCCCCCTCAGGTCACAAGCGAGGGCCATCACTTCTGGCAGAGCGAGCAGGCTCAGATACAGATGCTTCTGCTCGTGCTGCGCTGCAAGCGCCCGGAGGCGTCGCACCCCAGGGTTCTCCCTGCCCAGTCCCTATTCAGGACCAGGAGACGCCTGCCACTCGCCCCGGGGGCTCACCCTTACACAGCCCTGTCCCCCCCAAACCAAACCCCTGTGGGGAAGAAGCCAGACAGGCAGATGACACGCAAGACCAGCTGAACGAGGCCTGGCCGAGGAAGGGACACACTTACTCTGAGTCTGGCGACAGCTCCGAAATGCTGTGGGAGGTGGCGGAGCGAGGCGTCGAGGGGCACATTGCGGAGGGCGTCGAGGAGGTCTGCACGGCAGAGGGGGTGGCGGTGGTCTGGGGGCCTGAAGGCGTGCTGGAAGATTGCACCGAGGACAGGACGGAGGAGTTAAAAGAAGCAAGGATGGAAGAAAGGATATCTAACTGTTCAGTGGAAGGATGGCGGCTGGGAATGGCCTCCAGGTTGTCTCTAGAAGGCTGTCTCCTCGACAGTGGCTCTAGGCTTTCCCTAGACAGCTGCCTCCTAGAGAGGCTCCCCAGGTTGTCCTGCGAGGGATGCCTGCTAGGCACTGTGTCCAGAGGCTCTCTGGAATTAGATCTTCTGGAGAGAAAGTCCAGCTGCTCCCTTGAAGTTTGTCTAGCCGATGCTAGCTGGTCCCTTGAAGGCTGTCTTCTAGAAAGCAAATCCAATTGTTCTCGAGAAGTATCTCGACTTGGCAACCTGTCTATTCGGTCTCTGGACACTTGCCTACTTGGCAATGTATTTAGCCACTCCCTAGAGACCTCTCTTACTGGCCCACAGTCTAGCTGCTCTCTTGACCCAAATCTGCAGGGTAAAGTGTCAAGGTGGTCTCTGGAACCCTGCCTCCGGGGCAGCGTGTTCCCATGATCTCTCTGACTGGGCCTAGGAGCCAGTAGATCCAAGTTTTCCCTAGACCCGTGTCTGCTCGGGATACTTTCCAGGTGTTCGGTAGACCCATGCCTGCTGGGGATAGTGTCCACCTCCTCCCTGGACCCGTGCCGGCTGGGCACGGCTTCCAAGCACTCTCCTGAGTTGTGTCTGCTCAGCTGCTCCCGGGACATCTGTCTCCTCATCAGCATGTCAAGCTGCTCCCGTGACGAGTACCGGCTGGCTGGCTGTGACAGACTGCCCGCCCCAGAGTAGATCCTGCCGTAGGAGGCGGCGGGGACAGCCCTGTGACCCAGCGTGGAGGTCTTGTACCACGTCAGCTCATTGGTCATCCTGCCGACGGATGGCAAACCTTGGAGAGTCGGAGGGTACTGGAGGCGGTTCTTCAAAATCCCTGCACCGGACAGAAAGAGAAGTCAAATCTTTGCGTAACAGTAAAAAGAGCACGGAAGTCAGGGGAGATAAGCCATACCTCCCCAAGGACACGACACGATGGATCTGATGCTGAGTCTTCAGGGCCACGTCAGCCTGAGACAGGCCAGGCCACCCTTGCCTGCTTGCCATTACCTTTTCTTTGCCTTTGGGTCTGGGTGAGGGAGTTCTCATCCCCGCTGGTCAAGGCTAGGTCTGGCTGATTATTGTTGGCCGCATCCTTGTTGATGTCGAATCCCAGCTTCCGCTCGGAGCCCCACTTCTGCAGGGAGCAGGGGTGAACCTCACACTCGCCCAGAGCCGGCCAGTATGACATGAGGTCATTGCCATCCACGTCTGGCAAAGGACACAGCAAAACAGGGCCCAGGGAAGAGGGAGAGAGTATTTCTGTGAGCAGGAATTGAAGCCATCGCAAGACACAGCCTGGCCCCCAGGGACCTGAGCTCACCCTTTCCCCTGCCAGAGCCCCGGGACTTGCCTTTGGGAGTGGTGTTGGCAGGGTTAGTGAGGAGGCGTTCACTGTGTGCTGCCCGCTTGAACTGGCGCTGGAAGCGGCCCCGCAGGCGCACGTTCTCCTCGCTCTCCGAGGACGGGATGGAGAGGCTGCGCTCTTCGTCCAGAGACAGGTCACTATCCGAGTCCGAGTCCTGGTCTGTAGGGACACAGCGTGTGTTGGGGAGACATTTGGAACGAAGGTGGGTGAGGCTTTTCAGCCCAAATGGGGAAGGACAGACTCGTGCCTGCGAGCGTCGCCAGTTAAATGACCGAATCGCCAAATAACGGTGGCAGGGAGGGACCCAGAGGTCTCTGCTCTGACCCCTGCCCAGGGCAGGGCCAGCTGGGCTCTGGCTGCCTCCGGAAGGGCAGAACCACCCCAGGGCTGAGCACCCTCGTGAGGGCAACACCACCCCTCACTGCCCTTCCCTCGGCAGCAGCCTGCCCCTGCTCCCCCTGCCCTTTCACCAGGCACCCGTGAGAGCAGCCTGGCTCCGTCTCGCTGCACCTCCCTGTCAGGCAGCTACAAATAGCTGTAAGATGCCCTTTGCCTCCTCTTCCTCCAGGCTGAGCAAACCCACCTCCCTCAGCCTCTGCTCGCCCGTCCCAGGCCCCAGCCCCAGCCCCGAGGGTGGCCCCCACTGGTCTCAGTCCAGTGGGTCAGTGCCTGTGCTGTACTGGGGAGCCCAGTGTCCCCACGGACCCCACGACAGCCTATGCCTCCCCCTCTTGCCTCCTCCATTTCTAGCTCCTTGGAGACTGGCTATGCCCTTTGCTGTCTTGTCCAGGAGGAGGCTGTGCTGTACAACACAGCTGCTGCCTCTCCTTTGTATCCGCAGCGTGTTTGGGAGTCACAGCCGAACACAGGGTGGAGGATGTAACCGTACAGCCAGGGCCTGCACCGGGAAGGATTTCCTTAAGCCAGGAGTGAATTTGGGATGCACTGGGTCGGCCCCAAACCCGGGCGCTGGGCTGAGCCTTACCTCCCCCGGCATCACGGTGGAACATGGCCACGTCAATGTCCGTGGGGCCGGCATGAGCCAGCAGGCTGTGATCCAGGGTCGAGCCCTGACGCGCCGTCACGTTGTCTCTGAAAGACAGGAGGCCTGAACAGTCACAGCGGCAGGAGCCCTCGGCTCTGCCCGGGTGCTGCTGGCACCCCGGAGCCCCGCACCACTCCCTACCTGAGGTAAGCCCGCTGGCTGGAGTGGGTGCGGGCAGAGCGCACGCTGCTCACCGACGAGATGGTGGAGGCCCCCAGGGTGATGCGGATGAGCCCGCTCTCCTCAAACAGCGCCGTGTTGTTGTAGGCGTTGGGGCCCTGGCAAGGTGGGGAGAGAAGCACGTACCCTGTTAGGCGCCACGGTCCCCCCGGTGAAGCAGGGATGTCCCCGTCCCTGTCCCAGGCAGGCAGCCTGTCCCCAGACCCCTGGGCTGCTCCTGGTCTCGCCCACCTGCGTGCTCCTCGTGGCCTCCTCGCTCTGCCCCTTCTTGCCGAGGCAGGCCAGCTTCCAGGCCTCCCGCACCTCCTCGTTCAGCACGCAGAACAGGACCAGCACAGCCAGGCCCTGCGGGGAGAGACGCTCTGAGAGACAGCCCCTTGCTGCTGGCCGACCTGCTCGCCCGCAGCACCAGATCCTGGCTGCTCCCTGGCTCCTCCAGAGCCCAGCGTGTTGGCCCTGGTGGCCACCAGGACAGGGACGCACCAAAGAGCCCCTCGACACTGATCAGCGCTAACCCCCATGGTGGCCATGGGTGAGGGAGGAAAGGGTGGGTGTCCCCCTGGCTGGCAGCGGCCAACGAGCAGCTGGCAGGGTCCCCTGCAGCAACACCAGCCATGGCGGTGGCAGGAGGTCTGCGGGGTGTTGCCGTGGGTCACATTTGGGGTGTCGAACACCTCTGTTGCAGGCCACTCTCTGGCTCTGCTCTCCGAGAGCAGGGAGACCCCTTCCCTCCAGAGATGGTCCTCGCTGCCCCCTGGACGTCACCTCTGAACCAAGCACCTCGCAGCCACCTCCTACTCCGTGCCACCGCTCACGGCGGGCATGGCAGGGGGGGGCGGCAGGGGGCCACCCCTCGCGGGGGGGGGGGACAGCGGGC